GATTGTACACAGGATAAATTCATTTTGTCACTGGTCTAGTTATTTATGAGAATAACTAGACCATTGGCTTTCTGCATTTTCTGCCTTTAGACTACTCATCTCACCATTATTTATATCTTAAAGTAACTGACACTCAATTACTTTGAGTCAGACTGTAGTATGTTGTGGGGGGTTTCTCCAGAATTTGGGGAATTATGTGTTAGCAAAAGCCATTTTTTAAAAAAATATATATTTTTATTGATTTCAGAGAGGAAGGGAGAGGGAGAGAGAGATAGAAACATCAATGATGAGAGAGAATCATTGATCAGCTGCCTCCTGCACACCCCCTACTGGGGATTGAGCCCACAACTCAGGTATGTGCACTGACTGGAAATTGAATCGTGACCTCCTAGTTCATAGGTCAACGTTCAACCACTGAGCCACACAGGCCGAGCTAGCAAAAGCCATTTCTGATGGCCCCTCCCAGGCCTCTGCCGAGACCACTCTGAAGCCTGGACTACCACATAGATCGGGAGTTTCTGGAACACAGGGGTTCCTTCTAAATTCCATCAAATGCAATCCTTAGCCCATAGGATGGTCTTCATAAATATTCATTAAAATGATATTGATAGAGGAAGAGCAAGAAAATACTATGGACCTGGATGTTTGGAGAAACAACCAGTAAGAGGGGAAAATGTTAACCACTTCCTAATTGTGTCATAGGCTAGCTTGTGGGGAGATGGCATATAAAAATAATAATAGCCCTAGCCGGTTTGGCTCAGTGGATGGAGCGGCGGCCTGCGGACTGAAGGGTCCCAGGTTCGATTCCGGTCAAGGGCATGTGCCTTGGTTGTGGGCACATCCCCAGTGGGGAGTGTGCGGGAGGCAGCTGGTCGATGTTTCTCTCTCATCAATGTTTCTGACTCTCTGTCCCTCTCCCTTCCTCTCTGTGAAAAATCAATAAAATATATTTAAAAAATAATAATAATAACATCTAACTCTTATCAGGAGTTTATTATGTACCTGTCACTGTGCTAAGCAATTTATATGCATTATCTCATTTAATGCTCACAGCAATCCTAGGAGGTAGATACTATTTTTATTCCATTTTATAGATGCACAAACTGAAGTTCAGAAAAGTAGGTAGCTTGCCCACAATCACACAGCTGAGAAATGGTAGAGCCCGGTTTCAAACTCAAATAATCTGATTCCAGACTCACGTTGCCAAAGGGATCTAAGAACTGAAGTACTAACACTGTGTCAGATCCTTATCATGGCTTTTCCTTCCCCTTCTCCATATATCTCCACCCGCAATTTGGATATTTCTCCTAATGTTTCCAGACAGAACTAAAGCTTTGTCACTCTGTTTTTCCAACCTCAACCTAATTTTCAGAATTATGCAATTCTCCCACCCATCCTCTCCGAGGAGCCTCCCTCACCGTCTCTCCCCAGGTAACCCAAGACCCCAGAAGCTGGTACAATGTCAGAGACACTCAGGGAGACCCTGCCCCTTGGAGGAGTGCCCCTGAGACCCACACCTCTCCCACAGACAGCAGTCGAAGCGCTCCCCACAGCCTTCTCGGGAGAGCCTCTCCTCAGTCTCGAAGCCCCGGACTTCCCGTTGTCCTTGATCCCCGCTCCAAGCCCCCTTGCTGTCTCCTTGTCCATTTGTGTCTCCCAGCACCTTTCAGTAGTTTTCCATTATGTGTATTGACTAAAACTAATGGGAAGGCCTACAATCAGGGTGCAAAGATGACCAACCTTTCAACCCTCAGTAAAGCGCTTAATAGAGGCTGAACTTCCCAGCACCAGGCCTGATTTCCATGGTGACACCCCTGGGGATTGTTGCCATGGTAATGCTGGAGAGACATGGGCCACATTACCTCCCCTCTCCATTTTCCTTTATGAGGCTCACCCCAAAGCTAAGGGGAGACCTGCCTGCTCCCCATCTTCAAATAACAAAGGAATCCCCAGCCACCCCAAACAATGACTGTTCTAATAATCCTGCAGGTCCCAACCTAGCTTTTCCAAATGAGGTACTTGATGGTTCTGGGGTTTTTCCTCCTTAAGAACCTACTTAACTACCTGAGAGAGGTAGAAGGTAACGGATACTTGAAAAGAAGGAGGGAAGAAAGGAGGGGTGGAGGGAAGGAATCAGGGAGGGAGGGAGGGGAAAAGAAGAGTGAGAGAAAGAAAGTGTGAGAGTGTGTGTGTGTGTGTGTGTGTGTGTGTGTGTGTGTGTGTGAGTTCTTTATTGTCACCCTTCCCACACCTGGTATAAATGCCCACATCTGGTATAAATGCCCACATCTGGTATAAATGTAGCTGCACAGAAAAGCAGGCCCTGGGACACTGACCACCAAGACCAAAAAAGAGACACTTAAATGGTTCTGGGGGAAAAGTCACATTGGATTCTGAGTGACATACAGAGCAAAACAAGGTCCACAGCACACACCGTGACCCAGACACCCTTCCACCATGACTCAGGCCATGAACTTTAGCCCAGCCCTGTGCCCCAGGTTCCTGGGACTAGGCAGGGGACTGAGGGAGGGATAAGACCCACAGAGCTGCCCCTCCAGCTTACTCTTCTACCCGTCGCCACGCAGAAAAAAACCCACGAAAATGAGAGAGTCTGAAGCCCAGAGCCAGCCGCCGCGCTGCAGAGGCAGAGCTGAGAGCTGTCAGAGAAAGGAGCAGGGGCTGGGTGTGGACTGACCACTGTCTCCCACTGTCACTCTCCCCTCATCCTCCCAGACATCTTGAAGCAGTTCCCTTCATTAATTCCTCAGTTTCTCACACCCTGGGCCCCAGGAAAGGGGGTAGGACATTTCCTTCCCTTGTTGAGGTCCTCAAGGGTCTCCTCAACAATTACTTCTCCCTCAGCCTCCTGAGTGACAAATGAATAGTAAGGCTGGGAAGACGAGCTCCAAGGATGCTGCCTGAGACAAAATGGCCCCCCACAAGCCTTTATCTTGGAGTGAGAGAGTGACAGGAAGGGCGAAGGCAAGGGAAGATACAGTGAGACAAAGGTACAGCCCTGCATATATCAGGCAAAACAGACAGCAAGGACCTGCTATGTAGCTAAGCTAGAATCTGAACTGGCAGGGGGCCCCCCTGGGCCTCTCCTCATCTCTCCTCCTTCCCCACCTTCCACTGTGTCTCTCCTGTTTAGCTGCGTGAATTGGACAGATCCACACCACAATTCCTTCTCCCAATTTCACCCTATGCCCCATGCTCACCAAGCCAAGACGAACAGCCCTGAGAGTCTAGAGGAGTTGGTTTAGACTTACCTGAAAAAAATCTACGATAAAGGAAGCGAGCCTTAAGAGGAGAAGCCTTTTGTAGATTTGCTCCCCCATAACCAACTCCCTCCTGTTTCTCAGATTTTATATCTCAGAGGGACCTGAGGCTCCAGCTCTCATAGCTAACGCCTGCTGTCCAGACTGTTCAGAGAGGAGTCCCCCAAGGTTGATCCACTGGCCTGTGAGGCCTAAGGACCCTGAGACAGAGACGGGGGGCCCTCTCAATGTGCAAACATTCACATTCATAAGCACACACATGGCACAGCACCCATTTGAGTTCACCGTGCGGGTGAGAGAGCTCGGTGTGGTGCCAGCCTGGGGCCCTTGGGGACAGAACACGTCAGCAGCTCTCTTCCTAAGGCCTGTTTACTCTAAGTCCCATTCTCACGGATTCAGAAGGCCCAGGCTCCCGCCCCTGCTTGCTTTCATTTCTTTAACAACATGCCTTGTGCCAAGCACCGTGGATCAAAGATACAGAAGAAGTGCTCTTGACCTTGAGGACTGTCCTCATATGTGCCCCTCCCTTCTCAAAGGGGCTAGTTTCCTGGCCCAGCACCCCTCAAGCCCTACTGGACTCCACCCCAATCCTTTCAGCCCTTAGCCTGGCAATCCCTACCAACCTAGGAAAGGAGGGGTGGGTGAGGCGTTCCCTAGAAATTCCCTTTGGACCATTACAGATGAAGGACCAGAATAGAAATGTGTGGAGGCAATATGACACAGAGGGAAAGACATGAGCTTTGGAGCCACAGATTTAGGTTCACATCCATGAAGTCACAGTGTGACCTTGAGAAAGTCATTCAACTCCTTTGGGCCTCAATTTCCTCATCTGTAAAATGGAAATACTGACACCAACTTCAGACTGTTGTTTTGAGGATTGAATAATACATGTAGAGTAACCACCACACGGCAGATAGTAGCTCGCCTTCATACGATTTCCTCCACGGGTAGGGGCTGTCATGATGAAGTAGAGGTGGCTTGCTACTTTTTATTGGGTCAACAGAAAGGATGAATAAGCAAATACCTGTTAGGATCTCAGGGTCTGCTTATTTTTATTTGTTAGGGAGAAGGAGGGGGTTTGAAATCCTCTTCCTACTGTACCTGGGAGGGAAACGCAGACATTTCCTTAGGATCCCGGAGGCTTCCCCAAAACTAGGTGTGGCATCAGTGCATGTCTTTCTCAGAAAACGCTTCATCAGACCTGTGCCCTCCCTCCAAGTCCAGGCTGCTACTACTTCGGGGAATGATGGAGGACTGGGTCCCAGAGCCCATCCTCTTTTGTATCTCCGCAGAGACCCTGGTCTGTCCCCCTCGGAGCTAGTCCATCCACTAGTCTTGCCTTCCCTCCCTTCCTGGGAGCTGGGGGTAGAGATACGAGCCAATAACAAAGGGAAGATGCGCTTTCTCTAGGGGTGAGGGAAAACATTAGAAAAACACAGGACTGGTGGTCAGGGGTGGGGACCCTGCAGGGGCCAGCAAAGGGGAAGGGGGTGACCTGGTGGCGGGGAAAGAGCCCCCTCCCACTGCAGAGACTTGGCAGCGGGCCTGCCAGGCCACACCCAGCCATCCTGGTGCAGGGGAGAGGAGGGGCTTCGGCGAAGATGATGGAGGATGAAGAGCGGAGAGGGGGCACCGAGGGAGAGGCAGGGACTAAGGCCCGGCGAGGGGTAGGATTCAACCACCTGCCCCCTCCCCGAAATGCCCTCCGAGAGAGGCACTCACCCCAATAACGACGCTGTCGTCCCCCTGGAAAATGGGGATGAACTTGTCTCCCCGCAGAATCTCGGCCTGGTTCAGGGGCCGGAACCGGCAGAGCACCTTGATGCTGCATTCGTTGTTGGTCTCCGTCATGGTGGTCGCCGGCTGGGGCTGGGGCTGGTGCACTCCCGGGGCGGCAGAGGAGGTGCGTGCTCCGAGGGAGGGAGCTCAGCGGGGGCCGAGGCGGAGGGCAGGTGCTTGGTCTCTGGGGCCGAGAAAGGTCTGGGGGTGCCCGGCTGCAGGCTGGGGAGCAGGGCCGGGGCGCGCGTCCTCTCTCCTGCGGCAGCGGGATGCGGGCGACCTGGGCGTCTGGTCCTCTCCGGGCGCTCTGCCTCTCCGCCCCTCGCGCTGCAGCGCCGCTCTGCGGGCCTGGGCGGGGCGGCGACCGAGGAGCGGGGCGGGGCTTCCCTCGCCGCGGGGAGTGGGGGCCGCTCCACGTCCATCACCCACCCTGGCACCTTCCCTCCCCTTGGCCTCCTCTTCTCACCCCTAACTCTCGAAGATAACCTTGTCCTCACCCCTTCCCTGCCCAAGTGACTCACTGCATCCCACAGCCCTAACCTGTCTGTCCCTCCCCCAGACTCCACCCTCTGAAAGGAATAAGGGGTCTGGGAGGGCCTGCCCAGCCCCCTTTACTCCAGGGCACCCCCCACCCCGTCACAATCCTCTCTCCAAACTGGGAGCTCACTTCTTATTCCCTCTCCACCCACCCCAGCCCACTCAACCTTCAAGGGCAGTGGCCTGTACCCCACGGAGATGGCTGTCCAGGTCCCATTTTTTCAGAGAAGAGTATCAGGAGAGGTTTGGCTATTTCCTTCCCCTCTACATACAGGGGTGCAGTCTGCTATGTCCCCAACATACATTCCTTTTTGTTGTGGTGGTTGTTTTGTAATATATTTTTATTGATTTCAGAGAGGAAGGGAGAGGGAGAGGGAGAGATAGAAACATCAATGATGAGAGAGAATCATTGATTGGCTGCCTCTTGCACGCCCCCTACTGGGGATCTAGCCTACAACCCCGGCATGTGCCCTGGCCGTAATCAAACCCAGGACCCTTCAGTCCGCAGGCCGACGCTCTATCCATTGAACCAAACTGGCTAGGGCTTTGTTGTTGTTGTTAATCCTCACCCAAGGATATTTTTCCACTGATTTTCTTAAGCGTAGAAAGGAGGGGAAGATACAGAGAGAGGAACATCGATGTGTCACATGGATTGATTGCCTCCCTCACGTGCCCGGACCAGGGCCAGGGATCCAGCCCTAAACCAAGCCCAGCAACCTAGGTAGGAGGTATCTGTCCTTGACCAGAATCCAACACAGGACCCTTCAGTCCGCAGCTGAAACTCTATCCACTGAGCCAAACCGGCTAGGTCCCCACATCCATTCCAAGTCCTCAGTTTGAAGGAAAACAAGCTCCCATTCTGGGCTATCAGAATTCAAGAGCAGATAAAATTTTCATTTTTGCCTCATAGGTTGGGCCTGGAATGATGAAAGTGGGCAGCAGTAACTTTTGCAAGAGAAAGGGAGTCAGAAAGCAGTGAAGGAGGGGTGGTGATGGGGTGTGTAAGGCCAGAGGAACTTTAAGAGAGGACTTCTGGGCTAGACTTCTGAATTTGGGTTTTAGGCAGGTTTAGACACCAATTTGAGTGTGTTTCCTGTCCCAGTTACTATTGGACAGAGTCCTAACATCTCAGGCCTTTCTTCTTTTGTTTCTCCCCCTTCCCTCTCTGTTTCTCCCACTTCTCTGGCCAAAAAAAAGAAAAAAGCAAGAAAGAAAAAAAAGCCAAGCCTAGAGATTACTTGTCCTTCCTGCCCTTAGGTCAGACTTCTGCTGCAGCCCCTGGGCGGAACTATCTAGAAGCTGGCCAAATTGATTTTTCTCCACATCACAGGCCTCCGCTAGCCAACAGAGTTAGACTGCAGGAGTTGAGGCTCTAGGCCAAGGGGAGGAGCAGGGTGATGGAAGAAGGGAGGAGGGGATAGAGGTTCTGCCTAACAATTGTCTAAGGTCACTCAGACACTATGAGGCAAGGGGAGAGAATGATGGCCTGGCCAGACGAGACCTAAGCATTCAGAATTCAATTGGGAAGCTTTCCAAAATTGGACCTATACCTCTAACCCACCTTGAATCTTAAGGAAACTGAAGGGGAAGGGTTCAGAATAATAAATTGCAAAGGAAGGCAAAGGACTATGAAGAAAGAGGGATAGAGGCTTGGTGAGGAGCCAAGGGAGGATGCACAGAATGACAATGAGTTCCAAACTCAGGAAAATAAGCATCTCTCTAGTCACTTGGTCTGTCACTATTTCTAAGTTTTGCAATATCCTGAAAGCTTAGGGTACATCCTGGGAAACAGCCCAACCTCAGGCCTCCAGGGGCTCCAGCATGGAATCCTTAAGTAAAGGAGTTTCAGAATGCTAGTCCATGGAGGGTCATTGGTCAGAGACAAAGGTTTATGGGCAAGCCCTCCCCACCCCTCCGCAAAAATAAAACACACAAGCAGTGTGATTTTTCATAAAGCAGAATTTATTTTGAGAGTATGTCCTTCTTACTTTCCTGCTAAGGAATGATGACAATAAATAGATGTTCTTTCCTTTAATGTACTTGGCAAAATGAAAGGAAGCAATGCTATGTTTATCCTCGCAAAACTTTGTTGTTCTTGTTTTAATTTTCTTTTTTGTAAATTTTGTTTTAATTTTCTTGAACTGTCAAATTCAAAGCTCTGAAACCAGTGAAGTGGCTAAGAGCACAGAGGGTGTTCAGACATAGAGCCATCACTTACCTATGAACTTGGATAGGATTGCCAGATTTGAAGGAAAAAAAACAGGATAATCAACCCAGCCAGCGTGGCTCAGTGGTTGAGCGACGAACTAAGAACCAGGAGGTCACAGTTCCATTCCTGGTCAGGGCACATGCTGGGGTTGGGGGTTGATCCCCAGTGTGGGGCATGCAGGAGACAGCCGATCAGTGGTTCTCTCTCATCTTTGGTGTTTCTATCCCTCTTCCTCCCTGAAATCAATAAAAATATATTTCAAACAAGCAAACAAACAAAAAAAACAGTATAACCAGTTACATTTTAATTTCAAATAAAAAATAACATTTATTGTGCTATTATGTCCCAAATATGGTATGGGACACACTTATACTTAAAAAGCCTATTGGGCCCAACCAGGGTGTGGCTCAGTGGTTGAGCTTTGACCTATGAACAAGGAGGTTGCAGTTTGATTCCCGGTCAGGGCACATGCCAGGGTTGCAGTGTCCATCCCCAGTGGGGGTGTGCAGGAGGCAGCGGTTCAATGATTCTCTCTCATTATTGATGTTTCTCTCTCTCCCTCTCCTTTCCTCTCTGAAATCAATAAAAACATTTTTTAAAAGCCTATTTATTGTTTATTTCAAATTTAACGAGGCTTCCTGTATTTTATGACAGTCCTAAATTGGGAAGGTGACTTACCTTTTTCATTCCCAACAAGACTGAGCCTTTATTAAAGTTTATTTGTTATCCTTGTTTTTGGAGTACTGGCTGTGTCACAACATGCCTAGTTGTGTTATTTTTATGTAATCATTTGATTTCTGGGGAGTCCAAACTTATTTATCTGAAAAACGGGAATTAGAAAAGCTCTTTCACAGGCTTTATGTAAAAACTAAAGAAAATAGGTCGGATGAAATAAAAAGCGCTTTACTGTCATCGCCCGCCAAAGCCCCAGTGGGCCAAGACTACATATCCCATAATCCCAGTCGGCGCCCCCGCCATTACCTCATTCCCTGGCCTCGTTCTCGCCAGTCCCGGCCTCTACACGGGTGTGGTAGCGGGCTGTTCTCGCGACTTTTGCTCTGTCCTCCTGTGCTTCAGCTGTCGCGAGACTTCCTACTCCTCCACCTCCTCCGCCACTCCCTCTGCCGCCGCCTTAGCCCGGGACCCGGACCCAGCCTCTCCCCCACCCGAACTCCAGCCCCGGCTTCGCCGAGGCCCCGGTCCCCCAAACCCGCCTCGCCGCCGCCATGGCGGACCCTAAATACGCCGACCTTCCCGGCATTGTGAGTACAAGGCCGGCCTCGGCTCCCTAGAACCGCGCCCCCGGCCTCCTAAGGACCCCCAACAGGCACCAACCTGTGACCCCTCCCGTCTGCAGCCCCTGCACCACCCCCAGGCCTCCCGCCGCTCGCTCCGGACGGGCCGCAGCACCTTCCGGCCTCCTCTGATCCGACTGGGCCAGGCCTAGGTCGGCCTACCAGGCCCCTCTTCCGGCCGCCGCCGGGTTCTTGGCCCAGAGATCGTCTCCGGGCCCTTACCACTGGGCCCGAGTGTTTCTACCTCCGTGTCAACACCACCCGTGTCACCCCACATCTTCCCATGAGCCTCCCATCCCCACCCAGACACACACATCCGGCCACTTAGTGATGGCCTTCATCCTGCCAGAACCCTTGTGCTGGATGGAGAACTCTGTCCCCCGGGGAGTGCCCTAGCACCCCACCCCGCCCCGCCCCGCACGTGCGGGCATGGACCCCCTTTTGTGCTGCCCTGCCTGCATTCTCGGGTTGGGGCCTGGGTCACAGGACCTTGGGTACTAAGGCCCTGAGTCACTCTCAACCCTTGTGCCAGGGTAGTGGTGTACAGGACCTAATGCGAGGACAGCCCTTTTCCTGCTGATGACATAAGGATTGCCAAGGACCCATGCCCTTTCTGATTAGGGTAACGTCTTGGTCATCACTTATACTCAGCATTTACCATCAAGTCCCAATTGTCCCCACTGTCATCCCTGTCCCTCTAAGACATGGGAACTGCAGGTAACTGGGCAGGTGGAAGCGAAGGGACAGGATTCTGGCATCACAGCCTGCCTTCTCTGTTAGCTTGTTCAAATGGAATAGGGTCAGGGGTGTTGGTGGATGCTGTGCAATGAAGTCAGGTGGTCACTGCTTCTACCCGCAGGCCAGGAACGAGCCAGATGTTTATGAAACCAGCGACCTACCTGAGGATGACCAAGCAGAGTTCGATGCGGTAAGACTATGTGCTGCCTCAGGACTCCTCTGGACTCTGACCTCTCCCCCAGGCAGGCCCTTTCTCTTTTCTGGGGAGCCATGGCGATAAGCGGGTATGCCAACCCAGCCTGGGTGGTGTGTTGGTTGCAAGGCCTTGGCGGGCTTGCCGCTACCAGTGAGCAATACCAGGAAGGAGAGTCAGGTCAGTGGAATTCCAGTTAACAAGATCTGATCCTTGGCCTTTGAAATAAAATTGAAATATCCCAAAACATTTAGGTTTGGGGCTAGTGACTCCTAAGTCCCCTGCATGCTATTCCATGGTAATGAATCATGAAGCTTGAGCTTTTATAAACTGCTTAAAGTTAGGTCTAGGCCTCTAGTAAGAAAATTATTTGGAGACTGAAG